AAGTGACGGGGCAGTCATTCCATGGGGGCCACGGCTACTGTGTGATCACAAAGCCCAAAGGCTTCATTGCAAGCAGGGACCCCGTCTTTGATTCCCAATCTAAGTTCTCTTAACAGAATCATGTTGTTGTGCACCCCCAAGTCATTTGATTTGACACAATACCAACTACTGTTAAACAGCAATCCTAGGAGATGCCCAATTGTTTTTGATTGTTTGATGTGCAAACAACTTAAGCTCAAAACAACAACTAAAAACCAAACAACAAATCCACTGTCATCGAGTTGAGTCCTACTCATAATGTCCCTATAGGACAGAGTAGAGTGGCCCCTCTGGGTGTCCAAGAGTGGAGTGTGTCTTTACAGGAGTAGACAGCCTCGGTTTTCTCCTGAGGAGCAGCTAGTGGTTTCAAACCACCGACCTTGTGGTTATCAGCCCAACTAGTGACCCACATGCATGCCATTAAGTGGCCATTGTAGGCATCGTCAGGGCATAGTTCAGTGTCATTAAGTACATTCACCATGCTGCGGAACCATCACAGCTTCTCTTTCCAGAATCTTCTCACCACCCCAAAAAGGGAAACGCAGCTCCCCACCAGGCCCCCAGCCTCTGGGACCCACAGCCCCGTCCTGACTCTAGTTCTCACTGTTCCTGTTCGCTGGTGTGCTTTTAAAGGCTGCCCTCATTGCTGACATCAGGACAGTCCCTCCGGATGACGGCAGCAGGAGTGCCTTCCACACGGCTGGTTATAATGAAGGGATGAGGGCTGCTAGTGTCTGACAGAACCAATCAGGGACATGAGGGTTAAGCGTGTGAACTATCTGACCCAAAGGCCCCCAAATTCCCGTTCCTTTCCCACTGAAATCCACCCCATCTGCTGAACTCTTCCTCTGGTCAACTCAGTGGGTGCCGGCCTGGCACGTGGAGGACAGGTCCCTTCCTTCCTTCCTTTTCAGTGCAACGGCTGGACGTGGTACCTTGCCAATGACTTCCAGTTCCACCTCATAACCCCGGGGATTATCGTCATCCGTAGAAAGTGAGTCTCATGGGGTAAGCTTCCCCTCCCTGTGTGGCCTCTTCCAGAAAATTCCTAGAATGAGTTCCCATTCGCCACAAAAAAACTCCTTGCCGATTCTGACTCACAGCCCTGGTGGGTTTCTGAGACTGCAACTCTTTACAGGCGTAGAAAGCTTCATCCTTCTCCCGTGGAGCGGCTGGTGGTTTTGAACTGCCGACCTCACAGCAGTTAACAGCCCAGCATGTACCCGAGACATCACCCGAGCTCCTTGCCCATTCGTCCAGAGCCGCTTTTTAAGAGTTAGGAACTTGCTTCCAGAAAAGTCACCAGGGAACGCTCCTCAGGCTCCTCCCACCTTGGCTGCCCAGGTGTAAATATGTGTGCGCGCCCAGAGACATGTTCATATTACTGCCCCCCAAAACAAAACCCCACCAAACTCCGTGCCATCCAGTCCATTCCAGCTCGGAGTGACCCTACAAGACAGAGTGGAACTGCCCCTGGGGGGTCCCCGAGATCGGACCTCTTCCCGGGGAAAGCCTTGACTTTCTCCCTCAGAGACACCCAACAGTCTGGCGAGTTAGCCCCTGGGCCGCCAGGCTCCTCTTGTCATGACCAGTGCTCAGCTTTCTCCGTGTAATGATGTCGGTCTGCGTGCTTGTGGCGGTAGGGCTGACGCGCTGTTTCATGGTTGGCTACCCGGCTGTTGCCGGCGTTTCATGATGACACATGGCCCTGTGTGAGGAAGGCCTTTGAACACAGCTCTTTCTCTCTGTAATTTCCTCGGGGACATTTTTCCAAGCGCGTAAGTCAGAGTTAACCGCGCCGTGGCGCTTGCTGCGCTCCGGGTGGTGGCTCCTCAGAAAGAGGGAAGTGATTACAATGCTCCCCGGCCATGTGTTCCTGCTTTTCCACATCGGATGCGTCGTCACGGTAATTTCTGCTGGTTTTCGTAAAGCTTCAAGGCTTCGATAATTCATGGGCAGGTGTACAGGCCATGCTGGTAAGACTTATTCTTCTTCGATAAAAAATAAAAGTCCATGCTCAATTTAAGAGATCTTCATGTAATTCGAAGCCAAAGGAGGCAGCAGGATCAGTGCCTAAGTGTTGAGATTTGGGGTTGCAGAAGGCTGTGGATGGCAGTGGGAGTCCAAGGTCCATTTGTGGGAACCACAAAGGAAATAAGGCCCAGTGATTACCCTCTACCCACAATAGGAGGGTGAGAGGAACGTGGTTACCAAACAGAGCGCACTGGAGAGACAACCCGAGAAGGTCAAAGGATGAACCTGACCTGAACGGTTAAAACCTGTCGGTCAATCCCCTTCCGATGCACGTGGGGCCTGATCTGCTTTTCAGCATTTTCTGTATTGCTTTTTTGTTCATATTGGAGTTTATTTAAGATGGATTTTGTCATTGGGATGACCTTCTTGAATTTGTGTTATATGATTTTCTGTTTTTTAGTATATGAAACCCAGAATTGATAAACCTATAGAGACAGCATGTAGAATAAGGGTTTGGGGGGGAGGGTTGTACAGTGGGGCAGGTAGGTAAAAGGGAGTCGATGTCAGGGAGTTCAAGAAGGAAGAGAATGTTTTGAAACTGGTTGTGGTAGCAGTGGTACAATACTGCTCGGTATGATTGAACTATGGAATATGATATCTGTATTAACTCCCAATAAGATGGAAAAGAGAGAGGGAGAAAGACTTTGACCTTGTTAGTGAGGGCGAGGGGAAGCAAGCTCCCTCGTCCAGTCTCTCAGGGCCCCTGGGCCAGTGATGTCCCCTGGGCCCGTACCCTTCAGAGCTCTTTCTGCATGTTTTAAATACAGGGGACATTTTCTGTAGATGCCGAAGTCAATGGCAAGGAGGCCTTATCTGACCTCCTCTGGCTTCCCCGTTGCCACCAGGCAGCGGTCAGACATGCCTCCACCCTCCATCTTTCTTTCCCGATTCTGATACCAAAGATCCGACCCCAGCCTCTGCTTCTCAGCTGAGTTCCATCCCTTGTTGTAAAGGACACACAACACTCACAGGCAGTAGTCACAGCATGAGGATTTACTGGGGGGGGGATTACTGGGGGTGTGCGTGTGTTACTTTTATTGCTTTTATCTTCCCAGATAAGGAGCTAACCTCTGTAAACCAAACTTACTGCCAACACGTTGATACTGGATCAGAGCAACCCTATGGGGCAGAGTGGAACCACTTGGGTTTCTGAGACTGTAACTCTTTACGGGAGTAGAAAGCCCTGTCTTTCTCCTGTGGAGCCACTGGTGATTTCAACTCCTGACCTTGGGACGAAGAACCCAGTGTGTGACCTCTGCATCCCCAGGACTCCCTAGATGCAGCTCTCTCCGCCCTTGAGTGGAGGCCGACTCACAGCCAGCCTGTAGGTCAGGGCAGAACTGCTCTGGTGCCTTTCTGAGACTGTAATTCTTTATGGGAGTAGAAAGCTTTGTCTTTCTCCCACAGCATGGCTGATGAGTTCAAACTGCCGATCTTGTGGTTGGCAGCCCAACACACACACACCGCGGTGCCACCAAGGCTCTGTAACACACACACACACACACACGCTGTAGTTTTATTTTTAAAATTGTAATCATTTTTAGGGGCTCATACAACTCTTATCACAATCCATCCATTGTGTCGAGCGCCTTTGTACGTTTGTTGCCATCATCATTCTCAAAACATTTTCTTGCTACTTGAGCCCTTGGTATCAGCTCCTCATTCCCCCCCCCTCCCCCTCCCCTTTTTCTCCCTGGTGATTGAACCAGCCCTCTGCTGTCTGAGCTAGTCCTTTGACTCAACCGTGTGCTACAGTACTGTGGGCCGAGCCAACCTGTGGATCATTGCCTTGCTGTGCAGTGCTGTGCATTGACAGAGCTTGAGGTTCCACAGAGACCTGATTCTCCATGTTTCTTGAGGATCCATCAGACTACTTTGCTACGCTCCCGTGCTATTGGCCTCTGCTGTGCCTCAATTTCTCATCTTCCTGCCATGGCTGCCCCACCCTGCTTGTCTTGCCTGAGGGCAGACTCCGCTATCCACTTCCTTGACCTTGACCAGCAAACCTGTGAGTTGAAGGGCCTTCAGTACATTAACTGCTCCACAAAAGTGAGTTGAACTGAGCCCTCTGTATTGCTGTGTGGACTAATTAGCGATTATATTCCTTCTCGCTATATAAATCTTATCCTTTTATATATAGATATAATCATAAGTGTCCTGGTTTTGTTTCTCTAGAGAACCCTGCCTGACACACCGGCTCATGTAAAAGTCATGTTGACACGATAATATAGTGTCGGAAGCATGCAATCACATCAGGGCAAAGCCGGAAACTGGGGTGGATGGTGGACGGTGGATGGTGATATCGGCTCAAAGCCAGCAATCTGTCTATCTCCCAGTTATGTGTTTGAAATGTCCACACCGGTTCACCTGGCCCACCCATTCTGCACACCCTCATTGTGGGTGGGGTGCATGGATGGTTAAGGGTTGACCTGGCTCCCCTAGGGGTCCGGCAGAAACATGATCTGGCGACCTGCTTCTGGAAGATCACTGCCTGGTCACCCCCACGGGGCAGTTCTCTGCACCCACAGGGCCGGTCACCAGGGGCTGGGAGTCACCGTGGCGGCCAGCTGGGGCGTGTGTGGCCGCTGTGTGTGGTTTCACTGCCATGCACATTGGGGTAACCACCACTAAGATACAGGTGCAGAGCTGTAACTTTGCAAAGATCTGCCAGGTGCTGCCTGCTGTGTCTCACCAAGTCTCAGGGACTGCACCTGCCTGGGCAGCACCTCGTTGTGACTGTCTCTTATGGTCATGCTCTTCCATCTGCCCCATGCCCTGACCACCCATCAGGACGCTGTTTTGTCCCCCTTGGGCAGGGGGTAAGGATTGCAGATGGTGCCCCAAAGGAACAGTCACAGCCCAGAGAAGCGGATAAACCCACGTGGGCTCACAGGGCATTGACCCCGCCTCCCTCTCCTCTCCGGCAGGGGCAGGCTCTGCTGGGCTGGACCTGCGCCCTGTTGGTTTTCTTCGTCGAGGTCACTCTGGCCTACGTGGTGGACGACCCCTCTGACAGGGCATCAGCGGCCGCCGCCACCTACCAGGCCCTGCACCGGACCGTGTGGGCGGCGGCCGTGGGCTGGGTCATCCTTGCATGTCAGGAGGACTAGGGTGGTACGGTGCAGCCACTGCTCTTCAACCGGCTCCTTCAGAAGGGACAGATGTGCAAACACAAGGTGTACCACAGGGGCTGGGTGCTGCTGGGGTGGAGGGTGGAGGGTGATAGCGGCTCAGAACCAGCTCTTGGTTCGTCTCCCACTTCTCCTGCGTGGGACGTTCACCTCGGTCTGCGTACAAGTGAAGTTTCTGGGAAAGTTGCTCTCCCTGCAGGAAGACCTCAGGGAGGGCCATGTCTGCAGGGGAAAGTCCGAATGGACGGGAATGGGCCACCAGTCTGCTCTCAGCCTCCTGCACCTCCGTGTCTTCAGCTGACAGAATTCAGTACTCGCCGAGCCCTGGTGGCGTAGGGGTTACACACTGGGCTGCTGGCTCTAAGGTTGGCAGCTCGGAACCTCCAGCCGCTCCTCGGGAAGAGGATGAGGCTTCACTGTTGGAAACCCGCCGAGGGGGTCTGCCCGCCCTGCAGGGCCGCTCTGTGCCTGCTTCGACTTGATGGCAGTGAGTTTGGTTTAGGTCAAGGTCCCCTGCAGCCTCACTGGGATCTGGGGGTCTGTGGAGCCCAGCTTTCAGTGAGCGAGAGCAGCGGAGCACGGAGCCCCGGTGGGGTAGTGATTACAGGTTGGGCTGCCAACTGGAAGGTCAGCAGTTTGAAACCACCAAGTGCTCCTGAGGGAGGAAGACGAGACTCTATTCCTGCAAAGAGTTACAGCCTCAGAAACCCACGGGGCAGTTCTACCCCGCCCCGTGGCGTCTCTGTGAGTCGGCCTGGACTCGCTGCGATTCGCTGGCGGTGTGTGGTTTGGACTTTGGGGAACGAAAAGCCCCTTCTCCGGATTGTGGTTGTTGGCAGCTGCTGTCACCTGCAGCATCTTCATGGCCGTTGGCACGGTAGCACAGGGTGTTGGGGCTGCCGTGTCGATCCGTCTCCAGGAGGGTCTCCCTCATTTTCATGGACCAGCCACCACGTCCTTTTCTAGTGACCGGGCTCTCCCGAGAGCGGGTCTGGGGTACCAGCGGCCTGGCATCCCTGCCATGGGGGGAGGGGGTTGGTATGTTCCTGCACATGGGTACACCGTGCACACAGGCCTTCTCTGGAAGACGGGGCGTCGAGTGCAGGGGGCAGGAGAGGCCCCTGGGGGCTTTGGGACGTCAAGGACCAGGCTCTGTGTCCCTCCGGCAGGTGTGGTGAAGCAGGTGCTGTCCTGGGACGCGTGGCCCTTGCTGGCCCGCATCAGCTACGCCGGCTACCTGGTGCACCCTCTCCTCATCCTGCTCTACAACGGCCACCGGGAGACCCTCCTCCACTACACGGACCCCAACATGGTGAGCAGGCGCGCTCTACAGCCAGAACCTGTTCTTGAGAAATGAAGCAGATGGAAACCTTTCCTTTCCCCCCCAGTAGTTTTGGTGTAAGGAGTCCTGGTAGTGTAGTGGTTATGCGTTGGGCTGCTAACGTCAAGGTCCGAGGTTCGAAACCACCAGCTGCCCCAAGGGAGAAAGATGGGCTTTGTAGTCCCAGAAACTCAGAGGGCAGTTCTCCTGTCCTGCAGGGTGGCTGAGTGGGTATCGACTCGGTGGCAGTGAGTTAGGGTTAGTCGTGGTGTACCATTGGGGTGTGGGAGAGGACCGGGTCTCCGGTTGACGATCCAGGGCAGTGTGCACTATAGATCCATTCCTGTGGCCAGGATGCTGGAATCCAGGGCCCAGACCTGACAGAAACCTTGGAGTAAGCCTGTGTCCACCGTGTCCCTCTTTCTCTCTCTCCAGTTCTCTCTCTTCTCTGGACACTGCCTCCTGACCTTCCTCAGGGGGCTGGCCCTGACACTGTGCATTGAGAAACCCTGTCAGGACCTGAAGTGGTGCCTCCTGGGACCAGTGCCATCAGGGCCGTGACCCAAAGGGTGATGGCCCTGCGTTTATGGTGACGAAGGCAGGTGGGAGTGACCTCGGGACACAACAAAAGGGCACAACTCTGTCCTTGGGAAGAGCACCTTTAATAGACACAAATCCTGTGTCCAGTATATGAAATAGCTTGTTTGGGGTGTTTAATTGATATATATATATATATGAGTCATATATATATGAGAGTTCTGAGATAACTTTTTCTCTTTTGTTTGTGTAGAATAACCCTCAATTGTCCCCTCTGTGGCAAAAACAGTCTGGCATTTTTGTCTTGCTCTGTGTTCCATTGTTCTATACGAACCATCCTAGAACGTATTCAGCTGTAATGGGGCTCATTCTCCTTCCTCAGTAAAGTCTCCGTAGTTTTCCTTAATTTCTTGTTTCTGTGTAATCCTGCTGCAGGCGTGGCCTCAGCATCACTGGGTGCTCGGGACGGCAGGGCCCCGCTTCCTGGAGAACTCCTGGATTTGTCACTGCAGGTCTTTCAAGCTCTATCTTTTCTGCGCCCTGATCTGTCCATCACAACTTGTAACAGGGCAGGGAGAGACCTCAGTGCTTTGGCGAATGATCCCGCAGAGTGGTCTAGAGTTGGAGAGATACTTAGAGGCCACATGGAGAACCTGCGTGTTCAGCTTCCCGGTTCTGGGTTCTCTCCAAGGGACGTGACTTCCCATGAACCTCCTGGAATCACCAGCGTGGGGTGGGCATAGCTGGCCTCCTCTGGCTTCCCGATTGCCACCCAGCCAGGGTCAGACAAGTTCATCAGCTGACATCACCCGTTCTACCATACACTCTTCTTCTGTGCTGGCTCTGATCGTTCGCTGCATCGGCCACAGACAACTCGCAGGGCACACTCACAGCAAAGGGGATTTATCAGGCAAGTCAGTAGGTGACCATGAGTCAGGATCAGCAGTGAGGGTCCAGTCATGGGTCTCCTCAGCCAGCAGCAAGCCTCTCTCCGGTTCTCAGCCTCTCAGCCACATGGTCCCCCTGGCCTTTGCCTCCGTGGGCCAGGAAGCCAGCCCACCTGTTGCACTCGGTCTGGATAAGGGGAAGGTACCCCGTAGCCTCGGCGCTACTCCTAAGTCTCTGTGCCATGGTCTGGGACACACCTGGTCTTGGAAGCCCCCTCCGCCCCCCAACTTCACACAGAGACCTTGGACAGGCTCTTCCGAGGCCCTTGGGTCTCTCTCTGCTGCTGCTTCAACGATGGCTCATCTTTATAGGCAGGGGGCAAGGTGGTAACAAAAACGGACCAATCCCTTCTGTTAGTGTTACACATACCCTATTTGCATACCCCACCCAATCTTTCGGTAGGCATAATTTCATGCCAACTTGATTACTTGGTCTAGGGGTGGAGTCTAGCCTGCACAGCCTGACGTGCCTCCTTGTGGGTGTAGCCTTCTCCCAAGGACTCTGGGAGCTTCTCTCTCTCTCCTGGAGGTGGGCCACACACTCACTCTGCCTTCACCTTCCTGTCGAGGAGACACACTCTGGAGCCGGAGGAGCCACGTGGAGATGCTTCTGCCACCACTGGATCCACAAGACTTCTCACCCACTGGCCCGAGATCTTCCTGCATTTGGCATCATTGAGTGTGCTGCTTGGGTCTAAAGAGGAACTCATGGGTTGATATCAGACTACGGACTTGATCCAGACCGGGATGGGAGTTTTACTGATGCCTAATTACTCCTCGTTATAAAGTTCTCCCTTACACATCTACGAATGTCAATGAATTTTGTTTCTCTAGTCAAACCCAGACGGGTGTGGGCAGAAGAGCCATAAATTTCACTCCACCACACCTCCACACCTATGTACATCCATCATTACTTATGACGGTCCAAGTGTTAGGTACCCAGGGGAGCGCACATGGCGGCACATCCACTCCCCTCAGGAACCTCCCCCCACAGAGAAGGCTTCGGGGGTTGGGGAGCTCCAAGAACTTGCAGTCCTTTTTAGGGCTCCAGCCTGCCATGGGCAGTGAGCCCCAGGTCCCTGCTGTCAGCTCCCTTCGTGACCCAGAGCCACCCTAGCAGAAATGTCCCCCATGGTGCCTTTAGTCATCAGGCACGGATTCTTTCATGGCTAGGAGGCCCGAAGCCCCAATTCAGGGTGCCGCTCTAGGACCAGGCTCTGTCAGCTCTGAAGGGAGGGTCTGGACTCTCTGAGCCTCTGCTCCGGGGTCTTCCCATGGTTCCATCTCTCTCTTCCCTCATCTCCCCTCCTCCCACTGATCTAATGTCTTTGACTGATGCCGACCCACACTCCACTGATCCGGTCTCATGAACACAACCAAGAAAACCCATTCCTGAATGAGATGGCCACAGGTGAGAGGGGCTAAGGTCTACAGCATGTGTCGCTTCTGGGGCGTCCCATCTGGTCTCCCTGCTGTCAGAATCCGGCCCTGGTCTCAGTGTCTGGGGAAGAAAGCCGGCCGACTGGCCTTCTCAGAGATGCTCCTCCGGGGCCCCCTGGTGGCTGGCTCAGCACCTGGCCCTCATGGGTAAGGGTCTCCCAGGAATGACCGAAGGCCAGTGGCGTTTGCAGGGAGGAAGCCAGAACTATTGGGAGACCCCACACCACAGCTACATCCCCAGCATCCCAGTAAGGAGGATGGAATCCTGGGGCCCATGGAGACGGCTTTCCGATGGCCGGCATCGCCTCGGGAAGTTTCCTTCCCAGGGAAAAGCTCAGCCTCTCTCCCTCCCATTTCACGTTCACAAAACATAAGGGATTAAAAACAAAGGGCCCTGTGCTGTCAGCCCAACTCAGTGGCCCCGTGGGACAGAGTAGACCGTCTCCTAGGGTTTCTAAGGCGGCCATCTCTCCTCCAGAAACGGAATGCCTCGTCTGTCTCCAGCAGAGCAGCTGGTGGGTTCGAACCACTGACCACATGGCTCTTGGGTAGTGTTCGGGTCTTTCTTGTTAGCTCTTTATGTGACTCATGGTCATTGTGGTTACGTTTAGGATGAGTACTGAAATACGTGTGGATGAAAAGGCATAAAACCTGGTGTTGGCTTCAAAATATAAAGCGGAGCGGAGTGGTTATAAATTGGGAGGCTGGGTGTTGGGCACATGGAAGATAATTGTTCTTTTCTCTACTGTTGTGTTTGCTCAACATTTTTGTAATAATGAAATCAAAATAAACTTAGAGTCAACAGTTTCTAAGTAGAATAAGACACCCTCCTAGTTCTAAGTTCTGAAATGCACATACGCTATTACACACACACACACACACACACACACACACACACACACACACACACAGCCGAGAGTCGCAATCAGTCAAATCAAGAGTGAAGAATCACCCTCTGCTGATTTACAGGCATTTCCCACTAAACATCAAGCCCAAACCAAACTCATCGCCATCAAATCAATTCCGACTCATGGCGACTCTATAGGACAGTCTCGCTGCCCATGTGAGTCTCTGATTGTACTTCTTTATGGGAGTAGACAGTCTCATCTTTCTTCCGCAGAGTGGTTGGGGGTTTTGAATTGTTGACCTTGCTGTTATCAGCCCAGCTTGTAACCACGACCCCACCGGGGCACACTTGTTGTCAGGTGCTATCGAGTGGGCTCCAACCCACAGAGACCCCATGCACAACACAACACAACACAACACTGCCCAGCCTGCAGCAGCCTCACAATTGTTCCTTCTGGGGCCCATTGTTGTAGCCACTGTGCCAATCCATCTTGTCTTCCTCTTTTTTGCTGCCCCTTCACTTTATAAAACATGTTCTTCTGCAGGGACTGGTCTCTCTTGACAATATGTCCAAAGGACACGAGATGGAGTCTCACCATCCTTTCTTCTAAGGAGCACTCTGGTTGTACGTCTTCCAACAGATCTGTTTGTCCTTTTAGCTGTCCATGGTGCTTTCAATATTCTTCGACAGCACCATAATTCAAACACATCGGGTTTTAATAGTTGTTTCTAAAAATAGTTTGATAGATGCATCAATTCTTCAATTTTCCTTATTCACATTCCAACTTTCACATGCATATGAGGCACTTGAAAAAATACCGTGACTTGGGTCAGGCACACTTTAGTCCTCAAAGCAACATCCTTGCTTTTCAACACTCTAACAGGTCTTGCGAGCAGATTTACCCAATGCAACAGATCTCCTCTTCTCTTGAATGCTGCTTCCGTGAGCATTGATTGTGGATCAATCTTTTAAACGAAATCAAGGATTGATTTGACAACGGAAGCAAGATGAAATCCTTGACAACTTCAATCTTTTCTCTCTTTATCACGATGTTACTTATCAGTCCAGCTGTGAGGATTTCAGTTTTCTTTACATTGAGTTGCAATCCACACTGAAGGCTGCAATCCTTGATCTTCATCAGCAAGTGCTTCAAGTCCTCCTCACTTTCAGCACGCGAGGTTGTATCACCTGCATATCGAACGTTGTTAATAAGCCTTCCTCTTCATATGCTCCGTCTTCTATGATGACGTGCTCAGCACGCAGACTGATCAGCACGGCGAGAGGATACGACCCTGACACACACCTTTCCTGATTGAAACGATGCGGCAGCCTCTTGTTCTGTTCCCACGGCTGCCCCTTCTTGATTCGTCTACAGGCTCCACATGAGCACAACGAAGTGTTCTGGATCCCCATTCTTCTCAAGGCTGCCCTTGGAACTTCATTTCTCTTTGGGTCAGAGTCCGTCGTGGGCTTCTAGAGCCCGTTGTCTCTCCCTCTGACCCCTGTGAAGAGTGCAGTGCGGACACGCCACACAGCCTTCCACGGACGTTCCAGCTGCCTCGCCTTGTAAGTATCTGGGCCTGGGACTGCTTTTGCCGGGGCCGATGGTCTTCGAGCATAACTCTTTCCCACAGTGCCTGCGCCAGTCTCCCTTCCCACCAGCAACGAGCAAGAGTTCTGCTTCCTCCACAACCTCACCAATGCCCATCGTGTCCCTGTTTTCTATGCTGGCTCCTGGCCATTCTCACGGCGGGCAGGGGGTCCACGGGGCTTTCATTGCTGAGTCTCCAGAAGTAGATCAATCACTCCTTGACTGTTCTTCCAAGGCGCCTCTGGGTGGATTTGAACATTTGAACCTTACACCTTCTTGGTGAGCAGCCCAGCGCATTGAGGCTTTGAACCAGGCAGGGATTCCCTGAGACCAATCGC